TTCTCTAGCCCGTGCCGCGCCCGCTTAGCCCCCTCAATCCGGCCGAACAAAAGCTGTTTCGGCATGCGTTGGCTGGGCATGCGGGCTACATGACCCAGCCATCGCAGCCTTGCCCGCCGGAGGAGCTCACCGATGGGACCTTGCCCAGATCTTTCAAGGATTTGTGAGCTCCTCACACAATCCAGTCTGGTTAAACCCAGGATGGATCATAGGCAGGCCACCCTAAATGTTTCTAACCGGCGAAGATGTTCCATTAGGGGGGTCCACGTTTCGCAAGCGTAGAGAAGGGAGGGAATGACCGTGGCCGAGAAGACCTGAAGCTTAGTGCGGAGCGACAGACCAGGTAGCTTCCACACAGCGTTACGCAACCGATGAAAAGATATTGCTGCTCGACTGATTCGGAGTGAGACCTCTGCTGTTAAACTGGAGCCGGTCATAAGCACACTGCCCAGGTATGGGAAACTCTCCACTCTCTCCACAACTGCCCCATCACCGATTGGGAGTTGTGGGGGTGGAGTGTCCGATGGTACAAAATACCCAGGCAGGTGCTTAGTTTTGGTGGGGCTGATGGTAAGGCCCCACCTCTTAGTGGCACGCTCCAGTTTCAGCAGCAGCGTCTCCAACTCCTCCTCTGACTGAGCAGCTATTACCAAATCATCAGCATACATAACGTGGTTGACCAATAGGGAGCCATCCCTTGACCGCACCCGGGCATCGATCAGCCTCCCATTATATCTGTACCATATGGAGATTCCCCCGGTACAGCTATTGAAGGCTTCACGAACTACGTGGTCAAAATAGATGTTAAATAATGTGGGAGCCAGAGGACATCCCTGTCGCACCCCAAGGTGTACAGGGAATGGCTCTGACTCCCGGCCACGTAGTTTTACCCGGGCCCGCTCACCATCATGAAGGTCCTTAATGATCGTGAGCAGAGGGTCAGGTACTCCAAAAGCACGAAGAACGACCCAGAGCCCAGGCCTACTGATGGTATCATAGGCCTTGACCAGGTCAATAAAGCAGAGATGTAGGTCTTGTTGGAATTCCCTACACCTCTGCTGTAGCAGACGGACAGAAAATATGGCATCTGTGCAGGACCGCCCTTTCACACACAGTCACACACACACATACACACACACAGACATACAAACACACACACACAGACATACACACACACAGACACACACACAGACAAAGATCCCCCATATAGCCTTAACAGACTGTAGGGGCAAGTGCTGTTAGCGAGCACCTATGAAGGCCGGAACGGTACACGAGGGGGTGGGTGGCCAGCACCACGCCCGACCGCCTTTGTCTCCCTAGTGGCAATGTTTACACACCGCACCAGGTACTCATTTGAGGCTGAGTCGACCTAGGGGAGGCCCGGGACCGGTTCAGATAATCGTCACTGGTGTTGGCCGTGAGCGGGAATCGAACCCGGGTCGCCAGGTTCATAGCGCAGTGCGCTAACCGCTACACTATCGCTCCCCACACACAGACACACACACACAGACACACAGACATACATACACACAGACACACACACACTCATACACACACAGTGACACACACACACACATACAGACACACACACACAGTGACACACAGACATACACACACACAGACAGACACACAGACACACACACAGACACACACACACAGTGACACACACAGTGACACACACACAGACACACACATAGACACGCACACAGAGTTGGTAGGCAGGTGAGTGGGTAGGTGAGTGGGTGAGTGGGTAGGTGAGTGGGTGAGTGGGTAGGTGAGTGGGTAGGTGAGTGGGTGGGTGAGTGGGTAGGTGAGTGGGTAGGTGAGTGGGTAGGTGAGTGAGTGGGTGAGTGGGTAGGTGAGTGGGTAGGTGAGTAGGTAGGTGAGTGTGTAGGTGAGTGGGTAGGTGAGTAGGTGAGTGGGTAGGTGAGTGGGTGAGTGGGTAGGTGAGTGGGTGAGTGGGTAAGTGAGTGGGTAGGTGAGTAGGTGAGTGGGTAGGTGAATGGGTAGGTGAGTGGGTGAGTGAGTGGGTGAGTAGGTGAGTGGGTAGGTGAGTGGGTGAGTAGGTAGGTGAGTGGGTAGGTGAGTGGGTAGGTGAGGTGAGTGGGTAGGTGAGTGGGTAGGTGAGTGGGTGAGTGGGTGGGTGAGTGGGTGGGTGAGTGGGTAGGTGAGTGGGTGAGTGGGTAGGTGAGTGGGTAGGTGAGTGGGTGAGTGAGTAGGTGAGTGAGTAGGTGAGTGGGTGAGTGGGTAGGTGAGTGGGTATGTGAGTGGGTAGGTGAGTGGGTTAGTGAGTAGGTGAGTGGCTTGGAGCTTTCCTTACCAATCACTCCGGATGTCACTCGGAAGGGTAAATCAAATTCACTCTGCAAATAAAGTAGCATTATCATCACCACCTGCATCACCATCATCACCATCATCACCACCCCCATCATCATCATCACCACCCCTATCACCATCATCACCACCCCCATCATCATCACCACCCCCATCACCATCATCA